GGTTCGATTCCGGTCAAGGGCATGTACCTTGGTTGCGGGCACATCCCCAGTAGGGGGCGTGCAGGAGGCAGCTGATCGATCTCTCTCATCGATGTTTCTAACTCTCTGTCCCTCTTCCTTCTTCTCTGTAAAAAATCAATAAAATATATTTAATAAATAAATAAATAAATAAATATCTCTTGTACAAAAAAGGAACAAGTTAAAAACTTGATTTTTAATTTTCATAAAAATAATTTTGTGCTATCATTAACAACCAAGAAATCAGGACTACCCAGATAACAAAAGCAGAGGATTTAAAAAGATACCCTATTAACATAATAGATGAAGAAGATACTAGGTGAGAAGAAACATGCATATAACAAAGCCCACAATTTAAAAATTGTGGTAATCAAAGTCAAGCGATTAATTACTAACAAAGACAGTAACAGAGCTTCTTTTTGTCTTTCAGGGTGAATGCACAATTAGCACTTAATACTAAGATTGAGGAACAAACCATCTATAATCTACTGAAAAAGACCATCTGCTTCTATAAATTTTGCTCTTATAGACTTGCCAAAAGAAGAGAACGTATTAACAAAATAATGGGCCCTGCACTGTTAATTGCTAGGTTGTTTGCATTTGTGCTGTTGCTATTAGAATTTAATAAGCCATTCCTTCTGCTAAATTAATAAGCAGCCAAGATTATGTAATAGCTGCTTTCAGCTGCTAATTATTTTTCCCATAATTCCTTTCCCTCACTACCTCCAACCCCCACCTTTCTTGGCTAGGAACACCAGAGACTGCCAATGTGTCATCAGCAAGTCTCCCGTCCTCATTTTCAGAACAACAGACCAACATTAGGAGCATAACCAATGAGTTTAAACTTGGAGGTGGTTATCCCTGAGGAAATATGTTTTGTATTGAAAAAGAAAAAAAAAGCAGTTTGGATTCAGAGGGCAAGTTTTCATGGCATGGCATCTGCTTAGTGTAGTAAGAGAGAAATGGGTCATTAACATGTACCTTTGGGGCATGATTAGTCAGGAAACAGAGAAATTGGGGCAGGAGACCTAAAAACCTACAGAAAGCCATCTCTGTGCTTTGGGGGGACCACCTCTTTAATATTCCAGTATACATTAATCATTCATGTTAGTAGGAAATTTTCCAAGCAACATAATAGTGCTTAAAAGAGGAGTTATTATACATTTTATTTAGAAAAGGCCCCCAATCTCCCTCGCCCGGCTATCCTAAACACACAAAAAGGACATAATCCCTAATAAAAGATTCCTTTAAATTGATTACATTTAGCTTCATGAAAAACTTAGCATTTCTTTTTCACTTTGGGCCATTAAAAAATTCTGGCGACTATGTTTGGGAACCTCCGCAAAAAAGGGCATAGCTCAACAAAAGCAATTTTCTAGCTTCCTTTGTAAGAACCTAGGTGACGGGTAATGAATAGCATTAGACATGAGAAATCCCTCCCTGTTCAAACAAGGTCACTTAGTCCCGTGGGGCTCCTCTTTCCTCATCTGTAGAGGATGAGTCGGACTAGATGAATCATGCATTCTTTCATTCAAAAAAATACGGACATCCATTATGTGCCAGACACGATGCTCAGCACTACAGCTCTTAACAAATCTATCATTTTATAATCCTTACCAGCCAACTCACATTTATTAACTGTGTTATATATCAGACAGTTGTACTAGGCTGGGATGAAAAATTAATAGAATTCAAGATATGCTAAACAGAGGCTTAGTGAGCATGTGGGTGAAAGAGAGATTCGTTCTCACAGGGTTTGAGGGTGAGGCTTCGTGGGAGATGTGACATTTGAGAGGAAGGGCATGCCTGGCAGAGCAAGTCATTGGCAAGGCTAAACTGGAACCCAGGTGGTTGGGGGAGGTGGGCGTCCCCGTGTGAAGGAAGCCTAGGGCAGACACTAAAAACGGCTTGGGGTGAAAGGTGTCTAGGGATGTAGCAGTGCGATGGGAAAGAGGGGCCGGATTCCGCACAGTTTAGAGCCAGAGTCATTGCAAAAGGCCCCTGAACGCGTGCACGAGCTCCACGACAGAGCTGACGTGTGTTCCCCAGAGTTGCAGCAGCCCCTCTCTCTCCTCTCCATCATCACCAGCTGTCACGCCTCCGTCCCACCCTCTTGGGCCACTGGGAGTTATCGGAGCTCGAACTAGGCTCTCCGCGGTCCCGACCTTCCCTACCCCGCACAGTGGGGTCGACAAAGGGTCCCATGGAACCCTGTGCTCCCACCACCGAATAGCCTGGGCTGCCGCCC